TACTTACGTACGCTTCCTATAAATAATAATAGCACAACGTTTGGCAGTTCCCTCACGTAAATCGAAAATTAGAAATTATTGTTTACAATATTTTTGATTATTATTCATATGGAAAAGAAGAATTTAGCAAATATTTATGAAATAACGAATAAAAATTTATTTGATCATTCGTATGATCAATATGAACTTGTTTACAATACATTTGTGTAAATAACAAATAAAATTTTGAATTTTAGAGTAACATTATGGAGGAATTTTAGGATAGCCAATAATATAACAATAATAATTTTCATAAATAATAATAGAACAATAACCAATAATAATAGAACAATGTTGCAAATTACAATTCAAGAAAAATTTTTTTTCTATGAATATATGAAACAATAAGTTTAAATTTTATTTCAAATTTTTAAATTAATAGTAAATTAAAACAAAAAACAGCAAAGACCTAAAATACTTTCATCTTTGCAAATAGAAATCAAAAAAAGATATACATTCAATTGATTATTTAATACTAATCAAGTGATCGATATTTGTAAGTGAAAAAATTGAAATTTATGTAAATCTGAAATTAGCAGTTATTGTTTATCTTTTTTATAATATATGGAATTAGAAGTTATTCTTTCCTTTTCTACAGTACAAAATCTTCAAAGAAATTCATGTATTTGCTTCCTCTAAGTAATCAATGATCGATACAATATGGTAATCAATGATCGATACAATATGGGGCAATAATAAATGATGCTTCTTAATACTTTCCTTTGCTTAATATTAGCATTTTAATATAATTTTATTTTTTTTCAAATTAATGGAAAGTTCAAAAAAATGTATACAAATGATTAATCAGTATTGTGCCACCCACAATAAGCTGAATAGAAGAGAAGAGAAGGAAAAATGAAATAATGTTATTATATATCACGAAAAAATTAAAAGAAATACAAGTGATGGAAAATACTGAAATTAATCTAATATGAAATTATATTTCAATGATACATGAAATTATTCAAACTTTTTCAAAACAATTTTACAATTTCTATTCAGTTTATCACTATTTTCATATGTTTAAAGTTTACTCTTTTTCTCTGTGTCCAATTTTAGGCTGAGTGAAAACATTTGAAGATATGAATTGATATGTTAAGATCGATTGCATTTGTTATTGAAAATGTTATGTTTACTTATAGCTTAGCAATCTGGTTAATGTTAATGATAAAGGAAGTTCGGATAAATGATATCAAATGGAAGGGAAAATTAAAAATGGAAAAAAAACTGACTGATGCATTAAATTATTTTTGAATGTTGAAATGAATATTACAATGTTAATGTAAATGTAAAATATACATCCATTGAATAAATGTTAACATTTTGATAAAACTTGATAACTTTCAGACAACAATTCTGAATGTTATTTCGGAATAAACTTCAAACGAAATAAAAACATATACGGTTTGAAAGTTCAGACGGTTAGAAATAATGTTGCCAGCAGAACTTTTTAGTAGTTATAAATAATATTGTCATATGGTTTATTGCTCAAAAAAAATTTTGTTTAACCAGTTACTGATGAAAATGATTTACTGTATCAATAATGGTTGAAATTTCGTTTGCAGAATCGATAAGAGATATCGAATAAGCTGACGAAGTGTTGCAAAACATACCGATCGTTGATAATATAATGAAAAAGAATGAATTCAATGAAAATTGCGTCATTTGAATTTGATGAAATCTTTCGTAATAAAATGAAAGGAATTGTTTTAATGTATGCTATCATGAAGGTTTTAAATTTTTGCAATTTCTTGTTTACAAGTGCAGAAAAGAAAATAGTTCCGTAAAATGCATTTTAATGCATTAATTATGCTTCAGTAAGCATTCCGGTTTGATGGTTAACTGCTAATGGGTAACATTCAGGAGAAAATCAATTCCTTCTAATGGATAACACAGTATTATTAATGTGTTTCATGAATAATTGACATGGGAAATTGAAGTTGTATCGGTAAGTTGGCAAAAAAAAAAACTACCTTTTAGCTAGCTGTCTAGCATATTCCAAGCAATAAAAATAATTTAATGAAATTTAAGAAATCTTTAAAAGCCATGAAAAAAACTATTAGAAAATTAATGAGAAAAAAATTTGTTACAATAATGTTTCTTTCACAAATAGTCGCCGATTTTGGTGTATTAATAAAAATTTTAATTGATTTAAAAAGAAATAATGAAATTATTAATTACTAAATTTCAATTACCATAAAATTAAATTACCTGATATAAAAGGAATTGATGAAATTTTCATATAAATCATATTTTTTAATATTTATCGCATTTGCTTCTCCTATAAAACTCGGTCTAAATCCATAATTTACGGACGATCGAGGCCGATAGTAATATAAAGCTAAAAGCGTAGTTGATGATATATCTATTTATGTATTTCATCCGGCATTATGGAAAACCAATAAATATAGATCAGTTTTTTTAAGATGACATGAATGATCTCTGTTCTATAGGTGAATTCGATTGTGTTAATTTGTAAATTTGAATAAGAAAGCGCTGAAAACAAACAAAAAGAAATCAATACACTATTTGAATTCACAGTGATCTTTGTAATTGATAGTATTTTTGCCCTTCCCAAACATCTGCCATTGCTACTTTTTGTCTTTAAAATTTTTGGGAAACAAACTCTATTTCAATTTCTTTCGCAATTAATTTCGTGAAATACACCTTCTAAATGAAGACTCTCTCGATTGATAAAGTTTGTTCCTTATACTACAGATTGAATTTAAAACAACAACACTTTCAAAGAATGAAAATTTCCCATCTATTAGTACTCATTATCTTTATTCCCTCATTTTGCTGTAAAATCTTGAGTAAATGTAAGAAACACCAATATAGTTGAACATTTTTGTAACAAATTTACGGTATTGTTTTTCATGTTATAATGTTTCAAAGAGAATATGGACGATGGCATTTCAATGACAGCGCAAAATGTGTGAAATTGCTTATACATCTCCGATACTTTGGCTACACACCTCACGTAACCATGAAATTTATAAAATCGACTTTTTTATATAAAGTGTTAACAATTATAAGTCTTGATAAACACTTATCTATTTATATATGACATTTATAAACATCAATATTACACTCTTTGTACAATGTTAAGACAGCGTTATCGGCCACAACATCATGTTATTTATCCATTCATGTAGTAGGAGTCAGAAAGGATGGATGGATTTGAACAGTAGAAAAAATAAAATGAAACGGAACACACAAACAAAAAAGGATAATAAAAACAAGTATCATTATTAATACTACAATGCCATGAAAATTAAACAAAGCAGCAGATTACCAAATATCAGACACATGGAAGAACCGGAACTCCCATCGTACCATTTTTGGAACAATATGCCAGAAAAATGCCCAGAAACCTGCACAAATTATAGGAATAAAAATGAAGAAACAGTAAAAATTAAACCGGAAAGTCACTATCAGTTCGATGTATCTTCATATACAAAAAGTACACTTCCGATCTAACATGTATTAACAGCATAAATTTTTTGATTCTATTCAAGCACTTCTCCAGTTTTTAATCAAAACCAATCACATTAAAATACCCAACCAAATTTAAGATGTAATCAAAGTAATCTAACAGAATTCCGAATAAAACAGCTCAAATTATTGTAAAAAAGTGAAGCGCTTTATTTAATAAACTTGAAAAAGACCAACTGACTTAGAAATCCCATACTCCTAATAAACTTGGAGTCATCAAACATTTTACTTCAGCTACTCGGAAACTAGTGAAAACGATAAAGAATGGGAGGTACAACTTATCATGTCAAGGCCAAGATGCCAGAAAATATGAGGAAACCTTCTGCGCTCTTCGAGCCAAAATAGTCAAGACATAAAGAGAGAAAGAGAGAGAGGAGACCGGGGCGAAAAGAATATCAAAGAGATCGCATACCAAAAAGCTAAAAACCAACTGAGAGAAATCATAGAACACAGAAACAAAAAACCCTCCAAAAGGAATTAGCTAATTTTTAAAGATATTAAGAGACAAGACATGACATTTTTAAAATTAGAAAAGACCTAACAATCAAATCTCGGACTTGAATCAAATCCCGAATCTCAAATTTTCATTTGATTTGAATCTAAGTCAAATCAAATCCTCACCCGACTAAGTAAACATAAGATGATACCAAAGCAAAGCAAAGGAATTCCAGGAAAAATGATAAAATCATCCTAAAAGTTTAGGCAATTTCTCTGATAAATTCAACAGGCTGTGAACTTTCCAGGGAAAAGAATCCTTACACGGTCATCCATAAAAGTCAGACGTAAAACTTCAACTCGATAAAATGACAATAAAAAACACATGAACATCACCGTTAACACGCTCAATTAGCAGAAAGCACAAATAAACGCATTGCGAAAATTGAAAATTAGTGAATTTTTTCTTTCTCCCACCCTCCAAAAATGAGGAAGTCAAATCCAAAGGACACAGAAATAATGAATGAATACATCAATGAAGTTTGGTAACAGCGGCGGCCAATGATGGAAATGCAAACATTTTCTGCTTTTGCTATACAAAAATCCCCACAATAAATTGACAATTCAGAACAAAGAAAAACTTTTAAAAAGAAGCCAAAAAAGTAACGAAACTCGTGCAAAAAAAATAAGAGAATTACCTTCATTTCTTTTTCATACGATAATTTCGAAAACAAAAATATGCTTCGCAGCGAAACTAACCAAACGGATAACACTGCAATTCTTTAAACAGAAATGTTTAACTGATTTCCTTAAAATCTCATTGGAATTTTAGTACCAACCGGAAAACTAGTCAAAAGTGATTATATAAAATGGTTGCTGAATGTGATAGGTCCAAAAATCTGCAAAAAAAAGAAACCAAATAGATCCTAAACAATGAGAGAAAAATTTTAAACACAGAAGAAAATGAGGGAATAGTACCTATTAAAAAATGGAGAAAAAAGAAAATTTGACAATTTCTTTTTCAAAAATAATCACTTTTGTGAGTGATCGATTACCGCACTACTACCAACAGTATCGATTTCACCGACATTAACACGATTCGGATCAACTGTTCCTTTAAAACCCAAACACGCACCATCAACAACCAGTTTGTTTCCTTTATTACCTTTTTTCTTGCGCTTTCCACTACCCGTTAATATTTGTTGCGAGGTAGAACTGTCGGCTTTATTGTTCGCCGCAATGGTACTTAATGCATCCGCTGCTTGTGCAGGATGGCTTAAATCCTACAAAGACAAACATTATAGATAATAAAGATATTTCATACCTCAATGGTAAAGAAAATAAACTAGCCTGTTGCAAACTGCACAAAATCAATAAAAAAAATTCATCTTAAGTGTATGCAAACTTACATCCTTATCAACAGGTTCTCTCTTCTGACGAGCTTGTGAACGCTTTTCGAGAAATTCTCGTATCAATTCCTTCACTAAACGACTCTCACCCAAATAACCAATTATGTAGTCCTCCACCTAAATAAAAAATTTTTATGTACGAGAACATATAGGTCAAAAAACATAATTCAAGAATTATGAACCACATACAACTACTTGTAAACATTTGATAGAAAAATTTGCATCCATTCAGACAGTGATCGCAGAACCGAGATTTAATGCTTTGAAAAATTCTGGTCATACTTCATTCGGATTATCGACGCCTTCAATGAACGCAGCGAACACATCGGCATCCACTTGCTGATTTAGTTGTTTCACTCGATTTATCATCCAACTAGTGAGTGCATTACCACTATTTGTAACGGACTGTTTGAAAATTTTCTTTACTGCCTAGAAAAGTCAAAGCGAAACTATAAAACTAATATATCATTACATTCATTTTAAGAATTTTTGAGACGCCTGCGAAATTTCGCATTTATTTTATTTTTAGAAATTTCGAGGAGTTTTAAAAACGTGTAAAACCCGAACTGAACGAAAACGACAATAAGACATACTTCATGTTCTGTACTTCCTCGTTCCGGCTTGTTTGCACTTTGCAAATTTCTGAAAAAGCTTGATTTTGGCAATGGACTAAAATGAAGGAAAAAAATTCGAACACATAAGATGATTTTTCCAATAATGTACCTGTTGGTTTTAGTTTTACCACTATCTAAAGGCGACGGATCATCCCAGATTGCTTTTGTAGCAGTTATATCATTCACACCTCTGACGCCACCCCATGCAACTTGCCGTGAAGGTGTAACCGCTGTATCAGGTAATGGCTAAAAGAAGTCAAAGAAAAAAATTGTACACAACAAAAAGGAAAGAAATTCAATCCGTATCTGAAGTAATTCTACTAAAATGGAACAGCTGAATTTTCTAATTTGAAGTGTTTGATCAATGCATCCACACATGATTAGAACAGCAGAAGAAAGAATAAAGGTTGCAGTAAAAAAGGACCTGGGAATCTTGCCTCCACTTCAGTTTATGCGTAGCAGAACTCCAAACTCCTGCACGAGCTGCTTCACCGGTATCTTTCCATATTGCTGCACCATTTATCTGCTGCTGCTGTTTATTCTTCATTTCCGCAATCATTTGCCGCTCTTCTTCTTGCTGTATGTCCAAAAAACTTGGTCCACTTCGATCAGTCGTCCTTTTATTTGTTATACCAACCCATGGAGCGGCTAAAAAAAAAAACAAACGAAAAAAATTTTTCTTTGAATCACTGCAATAATAAAGCTAATAAAAATACAATGAGTCTCAACATTCATAACATTATCCCGCAACAGGAGAAGCGACAAACTTTTCGTAACTTTTTCTTCACCACTTTGATATGTTGCTTGCAAAGAATATGGCCAATTAGAGGAAGTATTTTCTGATCCTTTTTGCCTTAAAAGTGGCGCGAATTCTTCAGTAACAACGAATTCTTTCGAGACATTCTGAAATGTTAACGTTTAAAACATTCGCAATTGACGAACACTTGCCCAGCAGAAGATATTGCCAGAACGGTTCGCTGATGACAAGTTCTGGAAACATTTTAATTAATCAGATATGAAATAATTGCAGGATAATAATAGCCTAAATGAAGTAATTTTTCATTTGAACTTAAATACACTACCTCTTTTTTGGATTCGATTGGTGGCTTCTGATGCAAATTTTCTTTTTCACGTACTGTATTCGCCAATACTTGTTGTCGCAATCGCTTTTGCTCAGCAGCTGCTTTTCGAGCTGCTTCTTCAGCTTCTTCTTGTATTCTCTTCAACTCCTGTGCTTTTTTCATACGTCTTTCCGCCTCATCTTTTAGTCGCTGCTGTTCCCTTTCTTCCTCCCTCTAAAATAACTTTAGCACTTTTTCATAAAAAGCGTGCCCAAAAAAACAGAAAAAAGTACCAAGTTTATATCAAACTTGTTTTTGAGACTCTTTCCTTGTCTATCCTTAAATTATTTTTGAAGTAATAACTTTATTACAAATATCATACTCGTCTTGTTTCCGCTAATACTCTTTCCACCTCTTCCTTTTTCGTCCTTTCCATCTCTTCAGCTAATCGTTTTTTTTCAGCTTCTATTTCACACTCCCGTGCCGCTGCTCGCTCTTTTTCTTCTGCTGCTAATTGTGCTAATTCTTCCTGAAATTTGAATTTCTGAAATTGCAAAGCCTTCAGTACTTCAAAATGACCTGATTCTATGAAACCAAGCTCCAATCGACTTTTGCTTCGAGATCGTATAATGCTTCACTCGCCGGAGACTCTTTCGTCAATTCCTCGACAAATTGAGAGGGCGGGTAGGAGGAATGAAACTGCTACCATCTTACTTGTGCCCTCTGAAGTTGCATTTCCTTCTCCACAATTAATCTTTCTCGTTCAATTCTTTCTACTTCATCTTTCAATAAAGCTTCTCGCATCTTCTTCAAGTGTTTCTCCTGCTCTGCCATCCGACGTTGCTCTTCTTCCAATTTCTAGAAATAAAAAGGTTTACGCCATATATTCTCGGCAAAAATATTCAGCGAATATAATATAATTCTTTTTTCAATCTTATCCAAAATATAGGCCAAAATTCATATAAAAGTATTGATATAAGAGACCAAATTTATACAAAACTTGACGCAAAACACAAAACAGACGCTAACCTGTCGCTCTTTCTTGACTTTTGCAACTTCAATAAGCGATGCATTATAATCCCGACTCCATATATTTCTGCTGTGGTATTTCAAATCCATTAGGAAACTAATTTAGTGACAATACACCATTGACTTACGTTATGATTTACAAAACTCTTCACAACATCCACTTATGATAGAATAGGATACGTAAATCATTTTATGAAATATCTCAATCATGGTTGATACAGTATATAGGTAGTAGTTGGCTGCTAATAGATATTGTTTTCTAATATTTCGATTTTTAAATCAGCCATTTAGCTTTAAAAAATGAGAATGTTTACCTTACTTCCTCAGTCTGCTGCAAAGGCAACTGCATTACTGATGATGGAAAAGGTTTCAATTTGAACGGTGCCTCCTCACTATTCATCGTTATCAACTCACCCAAAGTTATGAAACTGCTCTCTGAATTCTGTCCATGTCGAACACGCAACTCCGATGTGAAATATCCCAATTTATACCAGGCCTGGAATTTTCACTCAAAGAAGCTCTATATCCCAAATATGAATAAGCAATAAAAAGCTTTCTGTTCTAGTTTTTAAATGGAAAAAGATTTCAAAATGGATAACCACTGTACAAAACCATTCCATCTAATATTCCATCCTTCTGTTAATTTAATGAGATTCTTACCTGCATATGAATTGTTGGAAAGGGACCTTGCACGGCATTCTTCGGATCCACGTAGTACCATTCATCGACACAATCACTATTTGAAGACAATCCCATTGAAGCAGGACGATCAAGTAAGGTTACATCATTCGTGTACTGAAAATCATAGTATCAATAAATATTTCAATACTAAGTAGCCGCTACAACCCCAGTCTTATACATAAGTTCAGCTGTTATAAAACAAATCCTAAAGTATTAGGTCTCATGATCCACATGTGTCCTTAAATTAATTTCAAACTTTTCTTCTGTCCGTGATATATCTCCTATTTACACAATCATATATTTACATAAGATCCATCTATTTCACACAGTCAGAATTTAATTCATTTTAGGCGAAGTTAAAATTTGTAATACTGCAATAATATGACCAGAATTATTCGAATATCTATCTGCCATAGTCAAAGTAATAGTACGACAACCACTTTGGAAGTATACAAAAAATTTGTATGTCAATATACACAAAAGATTGATTTGATAACAGAAATTAAAAAAATCAAAAATAGGAAACTTATTATAAAAAATAAACAATACATTTTCCTGAAAGGGACTGTTCATATCAGCAGTTGTTGTAGTTATGGGTGTCGACGGTTCGGATGTTAAAGTTGTGGCATTGTCCGATTTCTAAAACAATTCAAGTAACTATTTCATTGAATTTGACACTACGGAGGAATAACACCGTTTCCTTTTTTAAAACTCTTCATGAGCTTGAACAAATAAAGGAAGCACCATTATAGAGCGTCAAATTCTAAACTCTCCAGCAATACCCAAACCTCCAAAGCCACGAATAATCATAATGCTTCTAAGGTTACTGGAAGATATGACTGAGTGCCACTGTCTTAATTATTTTTCCCGTTGAACAATTTTGCATTATACAATATCATATCGCCCTATTTGTGATAAATCCACAAACATTCCTGACCTCAACAAACTGCTTTGTAATTCTGTTTGACTGTGGATGCTCCAAATTGTTGGATAGCATGGACCAAGTATTAGGAACAGCAACAGGTACAGATGATGCTAAAGGCTTTTGTGCTAATGGATTTTCCCCTTCTTGATGCGATCTTTCCCTGAAAATGCATAATCTATAAATTCCTTGCACTGAAACATATCAAATTTTTGCTAAACCAAGTGTGGTGACACTGTTTCATTCTTGCAAGTTTTTCTTTTTAAGTATCTTTTAAAAGATCATGAAAGAAATAATACATCGAACAACTTAAAAACCGGTGTAGACAAAACAAACGAAGATGAAAGGAAGTAGCGATAAAACAAATTCTTATTAAGAAATAAAGGACAAACAAACCTTTCCGGAATATCCACTGGTATGTTTGATGCAGGGTTTTGCACCAAATCCAAAGATGTCGCCATTCGCTGAGCGACTGCTGCTGCCTGAAACTGACCGCTGTCGTCGAATGAACCAGTTTCATCCAGATTTGAACTATCTCCTCTGAAATAAATTTAACCACACTCAGGATCAGTGTAACCATTATAACAGCTGCAATAAATCTTCGAAATGATAAAATAACCTCTCTTGATCATCACCCATCCATTCAGGTAGTTGTGACTGATTAGTAAATTCCGCGCTCGCTGGTGGTTGCTGTATTGCATTTACATTGACATGCATTCTCTTACTCCATGGTGCTGCAGCTCGTCCCACTTGAGTCCAACCACTGCTCAGAGATGCAGAAGAATCGTCAGCGCTACCAAACGATAGTGTATCGTCAGATGTGCTACGAATGCGTTGTCTCGGACGATCACGTGGATCTCGTGGATCGTACAGACCTTGAGCTCTTGAGTTAAATGGTTGCGTAGTATTATTCCCTCGGCCAAAACCGGCTATGCCAGCACGATTATTTCGATTACCACCTGCACAAGCACCACATGTTTACCAAGATTAACCGCAGTATTTGTATGATTTAATAAACAGAAATTATATCATCAAGTGTCAATAGACTAACTAAATCGTCCAATTACTACTGGTTCCGATGGATTGGTAGAACTTGTTTGCGTCACACCACGTCCGCGATATGAACCTCCAAAGGTGGCACGGCCGAACTGTAAGCTTCCTCTTCCAAAACCACTATTCCCACCACCTGTAAACAACCAATTCTAACAGAAATGATTCTTTTTTTGCGTTTAATGATTTTAAGAAAAAATCACAAAGGAGAAATTATTTCTTCTAGTAAATGTCATTTCCAAACAAAACAAGTATTCCAACAAAAAAAAAACCAAGTTACACAAAATCTCACTAGAAATTTGAAACTACTTCACTGCTTTCTAGCGTTTGACAAAATACGTGAATCACAAAAAAAAATCTACAATATGCTTGTATACCAGACACAGGTATCCACGACGGTGAAAATGAACGGTTTTCCTGGCCTGCTCTCAACTGCAACAGAATATTCGGACCACCAATCATGCCACCGGAAGCAATCGTTGCCCGATCTGTGTGGCTTAGTAGACTCATCGCCTTGCTCGAATTTATATTGTGTTGCAGTCGCTGCAATGTCTGCTTGTTTTGTAAAAATTGTGCCCTATTCTTCCGAGAAATTTTCATTTCAGTTACGAAAAAGCAGTATCACTTTAATATTTGAGAATTTGAAAATTAATATTGCATTTATTTCTTCGTAAAAATTAACAGCATGAAGATACCGTTTCGGTATCGGAAAGTGGCGTTAGTACGATTGGTTTCTGAGCAGCAGGCACATAAAAGTGACATTTGTCAAGACCATCTGGTGGATGCACATCTTTGAAAAGAAGAGCGAGCAGATCCTCTCGACCATAACGATTTTTTACGAAAATTGGATCCGCTATAGGATAATCGACTGTAGGCTAAAAAAAATGAAATGATTGTAATCAGATTAAATTCCTGCTGACTGTTTGAATTAAAAAATCAGATGGTACAAACCGGAAATTCAGTTTTATTTTAAGAAAGAAACTTTGAGAGTCAATACAGTTTAGTTAAGCAATACAGTGTAGAGTTTGACTATGGTATGAATGTATGCTGAACATGATCATATACACATGTGCATATATCAATGGATGCAGTAATATAATTTATTAAATTATCTTATTTATCTAAACCTTAATAAAACTTTCAGCAACTAGAAGTCAGAGGAGCACTAAAAAATTCTCTAGTTATTTCTCGTGTAATCCAATATTAAAGTTTCAGGCTTCGCCGGCTTGAAACCAGTGAAGGGTGTCGATTTTTAAAAGCAGGAACGGCGACTGTGCCATGAATCTCTCAAGTGAAGGCAGCTGGTAACTACTTTGCACCAACCCGTGCATCAAATAAAATGGTGAAACTGTTCACCGATCATAAGCGATCCTAATTTTAACAAATTTTGAAACTTTACAACACACATTTTCAGCAGCAAATAGTGGTTCCGTACGAGTACCGCCACTATTTCCACCTCCAGCCGATACCGGCATAGAAACGGGACGCATCCTAAAATATAAAAAAGGAAAGGGACAAACATGTGTAATAACATGCATATTCATTCAGCATAGATATTTTTTCTATATACCACACACAGCATTCATATCTGTGAATCTTTGAATATCATATGATAGTGATGATTTGCAAATATGTTTATATGTACAAATTGAAAAATGAATTGAGGCCAAAGTGCATTTCGCTGTACGGAATGACTGACCATGATGGATTGAAATTTAACTGGTTTGAATCAGCGGCAACAACAGTGGTAGACATTTTAGAGTGTTGGCTTTGGTATCAAAAGCAATGACAGAAAACCTGCAAATTGATCTTTTATTGCAGGCGACATTTAGTGGACTAAAAGCACGTGATGTTTTCCATACACTTAATATTATTTCATATACCATAAGTGGCATGAATTTTACGCAACGTATGAGATTGTCTATAAGCATCATCCCGGTCCCATCTACATTTCCTTCCTTTTCTGCATTCAATGCTTTTCATCATTATATACATTTTTACTAAAATATTACAATCAAATCCGCGAGACTAAATGTAATGCACATATCTTAGATTTATATCTCATATATCTTAAATTTCAGAGATCAAAAATATGCGAAAAAACTATATTCTTCCAACCATTCGTTCGTCGAAGTTTTCCAACTAAAACTTCAATTAGTAATTTAGTTAATCAACTTTTACAAGCAACGAGCTCGAACTGTCAAACCGTTAAATGACATAGTCCGAAGAATTTCTTCTTTGAGGAAAAAATGTCAGCTGCTTTTTAACTGTGGTATATAAGTACACATGAGTACGAAACATCAAGAAATCTGTAATAAGAGGCTGGTATCCTATGATCAACACTTCCAGACCCATTTCGCTGTTATGATATTTGACAACCATACTTCTATTTTTATAAATGGGATTTTGGTATCAAGATGTACATAACAACTGAGTTTTTCGTATAAAATTACATTGATTTGACTCAAAGAGTCCATGATAACCACCTTAACTATTTATACTTTTGTACATGAAGTTCAAAAAGTTATTGTGATGAGGTTTTAATAGAAAGGTATCTAAGCTACTAGAGTTTTGGTATCAGAATATCTTAGCTATCAAGGCTCTATTATCATGATATTTCAATAGCCAAGTTTTAGATATAATAGCAGCGTAGCATAACATATTGTTATTCAGTTGTCCATTTCATGCCACGCATTATACTTCATTATTACAGCCTCACACTTCCAGAAATAACGAAATCACCTACGTAATATGCAGTAAATTCACCTCTTATAATATAAATTCTCTGTATTTATTCGTAAGATCAATACAAAACACGCAAAAACCTAGAGCAACAACACAAGCACGGACGCCAAACGACGAAAGTTATACCCACTCCCTCCACCTACCCTTTTACGCATATGTGTCAACAACAGACTCATTTTATCACCAGGCTATAAATTGTGCTACGATGTGTGTTACGAAGTGATCTGTGTATCTCAATTATCAAAATTCTTGCCAGCTTATCATCTGCATTTTGCGGGTTTTTGTGTCGGAGTATTACTTGGGCGCTATAAGTTAGTATTTGAGGGTGATAACTTTACATAATTCTATTAAATTTGGATTAGATTATTATCGTGAATTTAACCTAATATTATAATGCAAATATGAGCCATATGGTATTTCTTCTAACTTAGAGAATTCAAGGAAGAACTGAGATCTATTTTGATGTTTTTAATTGTCTAATATTTTCTGATGATTTAGACAGAAATCTAGCCAGCTTCACTTAATTATTTATAGAATAGTTTTCGCTTTGCTTCGATTTGATCAGTTATTTTGTGTTGTTCCAAATATGGTTGTAAGCAAAAGATTATGGAGATTATTGGTAAGATCGAGAAATTGTAATCACATGGCAATCCGGAAGAGTTTTTATTCCGCTTGGATTAAATGTACAGAGTGAGGTTATATTGATTTTAATTAAAGCAAAGTAAAAGTAGTAGAAAAGCGATAATAGATTGTTTATTCGGAGTAAGTTCGCTGTTATGTATAAAAATAATGTATTCATAGATAAGATAACTTATTATTAGTTCTAAGTACGGTTGCGGTTCAGACGAAGTGTAAAGATAGCCCATATATTATGATTAAATAGAAGTCAAATGTAAATTTAAGCATGTGATTTATCCTAAATGAAATTATGGTATTGATTAGGAAGCAAAAAGTTAAAAGATATCTTCATTTATAGTTCTAAAAAGGATTTCATATTTAAAAAAAAAAATACTGCATGGATAAATGTTGAACGTTTTGGGAAAATCGGAAGAAACTAGTGTAATTGCAATGCTTTCTTTTTTTATACACGAAGGCATTTCAAATCACCAGTATCATGTAGCAATTTTAGTTATACAATGATTTTTTTGCTCAGGGTATGTTGAATATGTGTTCCAGAACGATGGATGGAACACAGCAGGCTGGCGGTAATAATAGCATTGATGTGGAACGTCTCTTTACCAGAAGTGATATTCAGAGTTTATTGAAACACCTTACGGGATCAAATCTTAAGGAGAAATTATTCAGCAGTCGGCAAATCACTCAACCTCAACGTGCACATTATGCTTTGATGACAGATGAAGCTTATGAGAAGGTGACGTTTCAAATTTTCAAGTCTTAAAATGCTTTTATGATATAATATCATCTGGTATTATTTGTTATAAAATTGTATTATTTATTGTGTACATAACGTGCTACTCATAACTGCGCTACTGACAGTTTTGCTGTGCTACGCATTGCAAATTAAATGCTTTATATTGATTTGATATTCCACAAAGTTTTATTCAGATATGCTAAAATTATTTCAGACGGTGAAAAGTATGGAAGAAATAGGAAGGAATTTTCTGCAGTTTGTCCCTGTACTAGAACCGCGTTGCAGTACACCAATTGTTTTAGCCAATGATCCGGAAATCAAAGGCTTTGATAGCAGTAAATATGTTTTCACAGATCTTTCTTTTGGTCTTGGAGTTCAGGTGAAAGCATTCACTTATGCTTTTTTCTCATCTGATATCATTTTTATCATTTTAAGTAACTATGATCTTCATTATAGGTGCGCTCAGTTGTTGTACGTGAAACAGACGGTACCTTACGGAGTGCAACACCAGAAGAACGAGATCGAATGACAAGGGTTTATAAAGGTCACCAGTATCGGCCAATATATGAACCACCACTGTTCAAAGATCCATATTTACAGGTTCACTGTTTGTAATGATTTAGAAGATAGTATTGAAATTTTATACGACATGAATCAGTTTTGTACCTTTTCTACAGTGGTGAAATATTTATTTAGATGGCACTGGACAGGGATGACCACGAATATGTCCTTGATTGGGCTTGCCATTATTATCTACCGAATGACCCAACATTTATCAAGGTTTACTTAAATCACTTCATTCAAATATCTATTCATATGCGGCCAATCAACGACTGCAGTACCTCCCACTTCTAAGCTTTTTTCATATTTCAGTTTTTTGTAGCGAAAATTATGAGTACTACAAAGCTTTTATTTCAATATTACTAGAATAGAATTGAGTACGGAAGTCATCAATAAAAAACCTAATGTAACTTTAAGCTTAATTTTTTTATTTCTTTTCCGTGAAAATTCCCGGAAATCTTTACAAATTTCAGCTTTGTCACATAATATTTGATCGTACAATGAACGAAAATAAATTTGCAAACCTACATTCTACTAGACATTTTGGTCCTTTCGTATTCTACCTTGTATTAAATAACAAATTTGCATCTCTACTGAATTATTATGTAGTCGAGAAAAAGCAAGTTTTTTCTTTTTCGTTTCGTCATAAATCATTCTTATTTTTCTCGAATATCGCTAGATTGTTTTCAGTTGTTTTTATTTTAGGACTGAAGATGCTGCAAATTTGGTGCGTCTAATTAAAGCGATTTTCCCAGATGAAGTATGGAGCCGTCAGATGAATGATGCGGATGATTTGAAAGTGTTACAGGTATGATGATAATATATTATTTTTATTCTTTGTTTTTTTTTGAAATGCTTTTGGATTTTTGCTGTATTTTATATTTTTATAGCAATATGCAGAAGAAAATATGGATTACAAAGCCACTATATATGATTTGATAAAGACAACGAAGAAACAAGAAATAAAAACTGATGGAAGTGAGGTTAGCATGGGAAAAAAGAACGAAAAAGAGGTAAAATGTTGGAATTCCCTTGCTTTTTTTGAATTAGCTTTTCTGAAAATTATAAAATTCGTTTATTTAATAGCAGTTTCTAGATGATAAAATTGGATAATAACTTTGTATATCGGAATTATTCCAGCATATTTCGACAATAGATAAAGAAAGTTTCACGAGTCCGGAAGGACCACTTGGTGAAATGGCTAAAACCTATGACGTACGTGTAGTACGTGGTTCATCTGAAGCCGTTGAACAGATACAAAAATTAGGTGGAAAATCACGCAAGGGTAAAAAGCGACAGCGCAAAGAAGATAATAAAAAGTAGAAATTTGCATTATTATTTGTTATATAGGAAGTTTTATATGCTTAAAGTTATGCATTCGAACAAAATTTCTAACACAAATAAAATCGATGATCGTGCGACTGCAAACGGTTCACCACTTATTACTATGGATATGTGGTATTTATTTGATTATTCCAAAAATGGATTTGTTTTACGTTATTAAGAAATGCGTGGCTAAGATGTTAATTCTTGTTATATTTCTGTATTTTATTACCCTTTTTAATTTATACAATGCGCACAATGAGCACTACATGTGTACATACGCTTGCCAACAGCATAACATATCTTACATATTTCTGTCCAAGGATGTGATAGTCAATTTCATATGCCTGTCGACAACACATAAAGAATACTCAATAAATTATCAGGATTATACGGCCACAATCACATATTGTTATAATAATCGAGAAGTGATAGTATACACCTTGTCATTCCTTATGTCTGTCTAACTGGAAATTACAGTATGATAATTTATCAAATATTCGTTTAATAAATTGAAAAAAAAAAGAACATATCATTCTAATGGACGAGTATTAGAAAAAATTAGTTTGTAAAGAGCAAAAGAAGAAAATTAATTCCCCGACCAATTGCCAATAATGAGAAGCCATTAGATTAACTACGGATTAAATTGATATTATTTATTGTTTTGACAATTCCACTTTCATTAATGGAATGGCAAGTATCATTAGTTTCGATTTATTTCATGCAACAATGCACCTTATTATTCCTTTAAAGAATGAAATGTTACTACTTTATATTGATGTATCCACTACAATGATCGACTGTTAAATCGATTGTTGCTGTCGCATTAATCGCACACGCAGCTACCTCAGTGAAATTTAAAGCTCTAATCAGAATGAATATTGGCCACCAATGTTCTGATGACTTCATAATTAATTGAGCATTCAATGGGCAATTGTTAAGCCAAGTAATATATTGCATATAATTAATATGAATTTTAAAATTTTGAATACTTATGATTAGTGCACTATAAAGTCAGCTGTCGATAACACATCGATAATAGTCATAAGTGATAATAATCATATGTGCAAAGGATGTAACAAAGGATATTGCCCTTGTCTAACTGATTAAAACATTTTGAAGTGAGATTAACTGTGATTATGAGCGTTATTTATAACTGTAAGTTACTGTGATTTCGCACACTATCTAATATTTCAAAATTCTATTACAAGCCAGATCTTTATAAGTCAACGTTACAAAATTTATAACGATTTTAGTGCACTTGTAATGCAGTATTTAACATTTAGAAAATATGCAACGATTTTTCATTAAAATGTTTTGAACCAATTTTGAAACGAATTTTAAAAACTGAGATTTTATTCCAATGCCACTCATATTTTTCTAATGCAAAAATTCAAATTACTAACTGTATAAAACAAAAAATATATATAGTAACAATCTAAATAATTTCTATTTCAAAAAATATCAAAAACAAAGTAAAATAATAAAATAAAGATCTATACAAATGAAAAGTGCTTTAAATAATAGTAATAATAAAGGAAGAGAGAAATAGGGAGTGAGATGAAAGCTGAAAAATGTTGTAATTATGAAAAAAAAATCTGAGGTGTGAAAGTTTAATATTATACCTCATATTTTTTCCTATCATCTGTATGAAATTAAACTGCAATATTATTATCATCAATGATGTTTCGGATCATTCAGGCGTTAATTACAATTAATATAGTTGTGATAGCTAATTATTGATCACAAATCAATGGATGTAATCACCATAAGCGATTATAATTTATTCAGTAGCTAAATTATCGTCCTATTACTATTGAAATTGTGTTAAAATTGATCTATTACAACTATGTTGTTAATCTATAAGAAAAAATTACGAAAAATAATCATGATTAATAGATGGGAACAAAGGATAATCATAACTTATGGATAAAATTTATGGATAAAACCATTAATGAATTTATGGAAAATTGATCATGCAAAAATTTGCAGAAAGATAATTGTTTCTATAGTAATTACGTGTTAATAAAACGAAAAGATTTATCCTTTCTTCCTTATACATCATTTCTACCATTACAAATCAATATTCCTAATGTGTCATTGAATATAATTATTTCAGTTATTGGATTCATATTGTTATAGCATAGCTTACTGATTAATCATATAGGAAGGGAGAAAGAAAGAAAGTTATAAAAATGGGATTTTTAAACAAAGCCTACCTATGTAACTAGTTCTTCTGCCTCATTTATCTTTCATTCTCTTCCTTCCTCTCTAGATGAAAGAATAGAAAAACAAAACAAGCCAAGTTATAGAAAGGAGACTAAAGAACTGGTATACATCGATGCAGGAAAAAGAAAGTAAAATTGTACAGTTTTGCTAAAAGGAATAGATAAGTATACAAACTTGTTTCATACTTCAAAGAAAAGACTTCAAAATAATGTAAAATTACCAAGATTACATTTGATAGTATGTTACGAAGCTGTATCAAGTTGCATCCATTCTCGTGTAATAAATTATAAGAAATAGCTTTGTTCCTAACTAAATAATCAAAAAGGGTTTTAAAAATAAAACATATAGCAGCTTTTACAAGTCTGCAGCTGAGTCACAGAAGTTGGAGAGTAATAATATTAAAGTCTTAGCGTGATAAGTGTGGAGACTCTAAATACAGTTCATTAAAGAGTATGTACAATTAGTCATCGAAATTATCTCATTTGAGCAACGAAATACTGGCAAAAATTACAATAAATAATCATGATTAAGGATAAGAAAAAAAGAATCACTTCAATATTACCATGCTATGATCAAGGAGATCTGGGATTGAGATTCGGAATAATGTACTTATGTTTCTCTTGGAATTTTGAACTTACATTTTATTGAACCAGACAATCCATGCAGGAGTTTTTAAATATTGTATTATCGTGAACATCATGAATTCTTTCGAAAAGGTGATAATCACCGTAGGTATTTTTAGAACCAGTTATAAACGGAATATAAAATGAGCGATAAATCGGGTGAGAATAGGATGACAATAAGAACTTCTTCTTCATTACCGAACGCCATATGTTTGTCTGCAAATTGCTCGAAATAATGGGTAAAATTCAATCAAGCAAAGACGTGTGGAAAGAGTTACCTTAGCATTTTTTACAACTCTAACTACTGTTAGATTCTGAATAAGGATTGGAGCAGAAGTCTATAACTGAATTGCGTAAGCAATTTTAATTAGGGTTCATTTTATGATAACAGTGATGGAAAATAATTAAATATTAGGACTGGAAAGAGGACATTTTGTGAAAATCACTTAACTCTAATTATTAACAATAATTACTAGTTACACGCACGCTGAATAATAATAAATATCTACAGTGGAAACAAAGATTGTGATAATACAAAGAATTTTTACCTGTTCCGCGTAATTGGGTTCGAGTTTGGTGGTATCCGAAGTTTCTAAATCGATCAAAAAATCGCATTGTCTAATATCAGCATATCTGAATATATAGATTTAAAATCTTTTTTTTTCGATTCACGAATATACACTAAAATTGGAACAATACAGAGATTAGCATGACCCCTGCGCAAGAATAACACTCAAATTCGTGAAGCGTTCCAAATTTTTTACTTTGTAATGCCATATAGAAAGTCATTCTTCAGTATATGAGAAACCATACGATATAAAACTGTCTAGTATGTAAGTGTGTGTAAAAGATTTATCAAAATTTAATAAAATTTCAAAGATTTTCAAATATGTTGATATGAAAAAATTTGATAGAATTGCAAAATTCACTACGAAAAATTACGTCATATGTATACTGAAAGCAGACGTATAAAGAAGCCAGCCATAACAGATAGCAAATCATTTTTCGTATATTTGTTGTTTGCTTAGGTTGCCATTACGTAATACTAATCAGCTAACAAATGATATCATCTCCAACTAATGCTTATACGTCTTAAGTGAAAAAGCCTTTTAAAATACAAGTCTGAAAACAACTCGGAAACTTTTGCCAAAAGTGCAGTAGGACCAACCGACTAATTTCTTCCCGATTAAGATCATTCATTTCTGTTGGCATAGCACGTGTAACTTCCGGCAAAGAACCTTTCATATATGGTTTTGGCAGCAAACCAGCAAATTCGCTTTTTATAAAATCCAATTCCGCAACCAACACTTGATTTTTACTGTTTTTTATACCGGATGGCAAAAAGAAAGAAGAGGGAAAGCGATACCACTCCTTACCGATACAAACATGTATCACCGTGCTATTCTAAAAGTGCACACTATTTACTATTATTATTGATTTGAAAACAATCATAATAAATCCTTTAAAATTTGTTTCTGAAAGAATTCGTTGATAGCTTCGATTATAAGCAATTATTAACGAATTCTACTTAAAGAAAGATTAATATTCATATCTAAATATTTGAACACTTGATATTTTCAACACTAAAAACTCCTACATTAATTATTCCAAAACTTACATCTTCAGCACTATATAATTCGTTGTGATTACTATAATTAAGCATATGTTCATTGAGCGCTTTGTATACTTCCATTGGTGAGAAAAAATTCCGATAAAGAGCGGCTGATCGGGAAATAGATAACACGGAGAAAATCAACAACAATCCAATAACGCATGCCTGCCAAAAACGTCGTGATTTTCCGCCAAACAGACAAATACCAACCCTAAAATAATCAATGAGTAAAAACCATTTTAAAAAAATTTGAAGAAAAAAAAGTAGGAAGTATATTGACAAAAACTCACCGAGGCAAAGCATCAAGCGTAATGGCAGCCAAAATAGCTAGAAGAGGATAAACAGGAAACAAAAACCGTTCTTCTTTATGAGGTTGCGAGAAAAATATTGCAAACCATAGAACAACTGATAGGAAAATAAAAAGAATCGGCAAGAAACGCTTCCAGTAAACCAAAGACATTTCTATAAAAATTCATTCAACTTTGATTCAAATTTTATTGAGGAAAAAAAGTGTTCTTTTTCGAGCTAATTTAGCAAAATAACAGCACGGTAGCCCAAATTTGAAAAAATTACGTATCAAAGAACCTTCAAATATATCCATAACTAGTTCAAAATAGGTTGATTCCATACATTCTCAATAGTTTAATGGAAATGTGGATTGATATCGCTGAAAGCAATAGCAAAAAAAGTAAGGATAAATCAATTATTAAAATAAGAATCATCGAAATGACCTCTGGCTATGGAATGCACCAGTTGTCGAGATGAACGTGTCCAGACGTATGCTAACCCGGCAAACGGTACTGCAAAGAGGAACAGGATAATAACGATATTCCAATTAAGCAATAAATTATTGATGTAAAATTTCGCATCCTCGACACCGTAAAGATTTGGCCCATGTGATGAAAACACATTGTATAGAACAATGTTTAGCGGAGCCTGAAAATGATGCCAAAAATAATTGTAAAATGTTCAGTATTTTTGGAATGCCTCAGTCTTAAAGGTTTTATAACCCGACAAATACCGTAGTATTTATGCGGGTAATTTTTTTTCCAAAACAGGGCTTTGAAAAATCATATGTATGAAGGTAAAATAAACAAATTTCTTGTAACATTATTAGTAGTGCATTCAGCTGTGTATGTTTGGAAAATATGCACAGGCCAAAAAGCTCATATATAATCATTCTCATATATAATATAAAATATATATAATATATATATAAAAAAAAAATAATCATTATCAGTGAAAAAGGTCAGGAGCCTAAAACATCACGTTCCAAAACATCGACGAAATGATGAACTAAATAAATTCATGCAATATAATTTTTTATATTGACAAGGATTATAACTGAATTCTCCGAAAATTTCAAAATTAAACTCACCACGACAATATGACCAAAATAATACGAATCAACAATAACCAACGCTATGATAATGGTAGAACCAGAAATCAATGCATAGTTACAAAATGTAAGGGCTAATTCACGAGGTCGAACAATTAGCATTTCGAGCACAATCGGTAAGCCAAGTATGGCTGCAAACGGCCAACTAATCAATGCGCTCAATGCAATAAATGATATTGCTATGGACCTAGAAATAGGAATTTGTTATTTTTCGAAAATACAAAAATTATCCAATATCGTACTGAGTAATATACCAACTCAATAATATATCGCAATTGTGACTTTCACAACTGTCATTATGTTTAAAATGATTCAGGAATTCGAAATTATTATATTTTATAATATATACTAATTCCAGATCCAGATATATCTACTGATAGATATTTTCTCCTAATAGATTAAAAAGCGAATACAGTACTAGGGTTAAACTTATACTAAACTCTAATTTAGAAATCCAGCTCTTGGAAGATATTCAAATTTTCGTTTTTTGCGGATGGTATTTTTGATGTCAAATACTAAAAGAAAAGAAACCATTCTTCATTAATATATGCTGCGATGGCGAACAAATTTGCCGACATACTAAACGACGACGGAAGGAATGCACAACTGAAATGATGCCGTTTATACAGGATGTATGGTTGTGAAGCTAATTTAACTTGAAATTTTGCATTGTAATTACCGAAGTTTTTGGAAATAGCAAAATCAGAGAAATAGCTTGAAAAGGTTCACTCCACATAAATAACTAACATTAGGTCCAGCTACACATTTATTAAATCTCAGCTGAGAAGGATTACTCTGTAATATGAGATTTATTTCAACTTTAACACTGAAAGGAAAGCTCTCTTTGTCTTTAATTCTCATAATTCCCATGATTTCAAATAATTCAAAACATATCTACTTTTGAAAGATGGAATTGCCACGAGAAAAACTACTAAAAAACAGTCCAAATAACCAAAACTTTTCGATAAGCATCTCGAAGACAACAAAACCTTGCAATAAACATTCCAGATGAAAGTGATGTTAACATAACATATATTCGAGCGATACGGTTCCCAAATCGTGAACAAAGTGCTTGATACATTTTTATTTCACCACCTACGTTGAACAATCCCAACAAGCAACGCATTGTAACGAAAACGCCTAATTTGTTGGCGAAAAATATTCTTTTCAATATTGCAGCGGGTCCATAATGCAATAGTATGTATAAATATGACCTGGAATTCAAGTTTTCTATAAAAATATCTCGAACAAATTTCTTTTCTGAAATAATTCAAACAAATAGTGAAAGCCATTAGAAAAAGAATAGATGGGAATGATAAGTATCCGCTAAAACAACTTTATCATTTACCATATAATTAATGCTGGACTTTGAAGATAATTAGAAACACAATCTGGGTATCGAATTATTCTAGGTCATGTTTAAAGAATATTCAGATCCTAATAAGACTATATTCTCTTGGTTTTAGTTGACAAAAGAGATACAGCCAAATGTTGTGTATCACCCAATAGACATAAAATGATAACAATCACTATAACTTTTATTAGTATATATTAGTGGGGAAATGTGAATGATTTCCGCCACTGGCCATTTCCGGTAACTCGATATTATTCAGGCCCTTGCATTTTGCTTTTGATATGCAGTTGTGCAACTAACGGTGGATCATAAATTTCAAAAAGAAAAAGAAACGGCTGTTAACGGATCCCACCTATAACAATGTACTCCGGTGCTCTGGACTACTGGGATATGATACCGGAAATGAACTTGCTAATCTGAATGCAAGAACGAACCGTATAGCATAAAGTGGCGAGTATTCCCATGTCTGAAAACCGGTGCCGTAAAGAAATAAATGAAGAGGCTCCCAATAATTATATACTTCATCGCAATCGCTTATTATACTCCACATTGCAGCGGAAATTCGAAAGGAAAATATAATCTGGAAAAGGAATTTTTCCATCCCTTCAGTCATATTTATAGTAATCATTTATGATTGTTAGTAATGAAATAGAAAGTTATTTAACGATTAAAGCAATTGTTGAGATATTTTAAAATGAAATTACTTTGTAAAAGCTATCACAAGGAAAATGGAATAATTAATTGATCTTCATATAAAAATAGGATTTCCCCATGAATGTGAGAAGAATCACACAAGGATAAAATCACACCGGATATAAGTGTGTAATAGGAATCGACAATGTGAGTTCATGGATGTAACCCGTCAAATCATCTAACATTCTATTCATCTTACTATTTAATAAACTTTATGGATTAATTTTATGAAAAAAGAAAGTGAAGTTAACATGACATCAAAACAGAAATTCAAAAAAAAATTTCCGGAAACTAAACCTTTAAAATTGTTAAAGCTTATTAGAATTTTAAATTTTATTGTTTGAAAAATAATATCCCACTTTCTTACTCTTAAAAACTTCATTACTTTTAAAATATGTAATTCATAATTTTCTTTTTTTGCAATTTTTAAAAATTTGAAAATTTAGCTCACCTTAAAAACTATTGAAACCGATGGCTGCCATTCTAAATCCATTTGTCCACCGGGTATGTAAAGTTTAGAAAATGAATCCAACGCTGGATAATTCCAAAGTACATTAGCCTGCAACGGTGATAGTGCTGATGGTTGTTCATCCTTTGTTAGGTTATCTATTGGCGATAGATGTGATCGCATTATTAGACGGTTTGATGTCCGTTTCATCGATAATGGATTCTTCTTTGTCATAATGCTTGCTATATATGTTATATTACATAAATCACATAGATATATCGCTTTGATAGATTGTTACGACTCAACAAAATCATAGCAGAAAAACGAATATATAAACAAACAAAACGGTAAATGAGATATTGTCTCTGATCAAAATCAACTTTTCGAAAGACGAATTTTATTATTGCTACTCTTTTTTCCTTACTAATTATAAATTATTTCTTAATGAAATTTTAGACAAATTTTCAAAAACTTTCTTTCAATACACTTTGATAATTTTACGATTTCATTAATTTTCTTTGTCAAAACTGAGAATGTTATATAAAATAAGAGGTCAGAAATAATCCCAAACACAAAATTACCAAGCAAAGAACTAATTGCGTAAAAAGTTGCAAGGTCATGAAAGGAAGAAAGAAAAAGTCCTCAATAATAAAATAACTGACCAAGGGATGAGATTGTTGCACAAATCAGTTATGAATCATATTACGTTAGAAAGAGAAGGTGAGTGTTGTGATAATTGTTGGCATGACATGAAGTTGTGGAAGTTATGTGATGTCAAAGGTAAGTCGAGATTGGAATACCAAAGTATCAGATTGAGATGATATGTGGAAAGTTTGGGATTTAATAAAGCAAACTTTTGATCGATAACACTAAGGTGTTTGTTATCTCAAGAAGTTTTGGAATTTTAGTGAAATACAGAGTTAATAAGGGGTCTTTTTTCCAAATGACCTTTGCAAATTTCAATAGAATTGTACAAAGTCCTCGTATTAATCAGTAATTAAACCTTTCAATATTATGAAATCGTTAAACGATGTTGTAGTGCATATGTAATGTTTCATGATTTGCAAGATAACAATCAAAATTCATTTTAGCATTTTGATCATACCAAAAAGAGAAATGTTTAGTATTTAGCAGGATAAATTAAATCTTTCAATGTTGTAAACTCAACTTTCTCGTATGCAGTTGTTTTCCATACATTTCGGAAATAATGTTTTAAAAATTATGAATTAAATGTTTCAGTAATATAAGTGCAGTATTTAAGTAGTATAAGTACTTCAAATATCTGGATTTTCCTTATTTCATTATTGAAGATTCCGGTTGGTGTATTTCTGTTAAGAGTTTTAAAAGTATCAAATTTGCCAGAATTTAATTAGTTTTATTGCGAATAAATTATTGTGAACGTTATAAAAAATTAAATTTTAATCTTTATGGTTATCATTTTGGCATGCAAATCAAGTTATATATATTTCTACACATATATGTTGTTCAACATATATATATATGTTGAAATATATATATATATGCACATATATATGCACATTTATTTTTGGTGACAGATTGCGATTTTCGGAAATGAGTGAGGAACAATCAACTAGTAATCCGAATGACATTTTGGATTCAATAAAAGTATGAGTTTATTTTATGAAAAATTCAAGAAATAATTGCTACAAAAGTATTTCATTGATGTGGTTTGCCTTTTTTCAAAATTTGGAGGGTTTTATATTTTTGATGCGAAATTAGTGGTACAGAATTTCCTGATATTTTCATTAATGAGCATTATATAGTCCGTTCAATGATAACTATATGTAGTTAGGAGTTCAACTTTATGTATTTACAAACTGATTTTCGAAGTCATTAGTATTGAATGTTATTTTTGTATTACTAAGTGTTTTTCTTATAAAATGTTTTTTAGCTTTAGCTCTAAGATTTACAAGATTTCTGTTATCATTGCTGTATATAACAATGATAATACTGCTACTGCCATGCAGTAATAATTTTGTTATATATTTTCAGATGTAATTCACTTTTATAGTTTTCACAACTTTAAATTCTTAAATCATTACTACAGCATAACGTAATCTTATGTTTGATGTTATTAGATCTTTAAACTGTTCATCTAATCAATTCCAACTGTAGTTCTGCTTCAGAATATGAAATTATGTACAGTTCGAGCTGTTGGAGAGGCAAATGCTTTACCAATGTGTACTGAAGGTTATGAATTATATGCAAGCTTTCCGGTGTATGCTAATCTTATGATGGAACAGCAAAGAAGGATTATCGTTATGTAAGTTGTATATACGTTTTTAAGAAATGCTTGAGTTTTTCTGCTTTCGCTACTTAATAATTAGGCTCTTTCCTCCGTTTACAGGTTACGTGAAGTATTGAGGAATGCTGGTTGTCGAGTTCCGATACCAGCAAAGGTTGATGATCTCGACGAATTATTGGATCGAATCATTGAGGCAAACGATAGCATCTGCGAACGATCCGTATGCTATTTATTATATCACTAAATTTTGGAATTCTTGCTAGCTCTCAAAGCAGTTATCTGTCTGATTTACAGGGTATATTACTGGATTTGCTTCAAAAAGCTAGACGTATGGAAGAAGTAGTTATGCCACAACAAATTATTGATGCAGAAAGTACGGCTCTTTCTGATCAAACACTGTTCGAGAGGCAGGGACGTTACACTGCACTTTTGCGACGTTTACCTGAAAATAAGAATAAACTGCTGTCAACAACGGCTACTGCTGCTGTTCCTTTGCTGGTAAATTTGCTGTCAAAAATTGAAACATACAACACGGATTTAAGTAGTCAGTTTGCGCGCCTCTTATGAGCACTTTTTTTTAAATTTTACGACACATATTTTTTAGACTTCAGTTTTTAAACGCGCAAGGCTTCTCTGTTTTTATTTGAAGTCTGAAAAGTTGATATAGTACTATATGTATAGTTTTGTTATATACAGTGGTTTCATATGCAACAAATTTCTTCGTTATGTGCTAAACGTTTCTGTCTATATTCATTTGTTAAACACACGGTATGTTGAAAAAGCTGGAGCAATAACATTGCGTGCTTTTTCATAGATTTTCTCTTCTTTATGGATGGGCTTTCCGAGGCTTGCAGATTTTGCTTCCGGAACTTTTTTGACTTTTCAGAGATTTTTTCTGATTTGAATTTGATTAATTTATTTGCAGACATCGAAGGAGAAACCACAGATTGTTTTTGGGATCGAGGTCGATAATAGCCCTGCGGAATTTAGGTCAAAGCTTAAAGAGAAACATCATGCTATGGAAAATATTGTAACGAATTTGCAAATCGTTGATAATGACGATACTGATACAATCATGTGGCCCGACGATCAGGGAACGAGTTTACATCCTTATGACAAAGAACTGAATCACTTTAAGGTTATGTTTTTAGTTCTTTAATTTTTAGTTTTAGTTCTTTAATGACCTGTCTGTACTCCAAGGTAACTTTTTTCTCTCAAATCTCATATTCCGCGTGTGTATCAAGGTCATTAATTTTCCTGTTTTTTTCAGATTCCTGCAAGGCAGTTAGCTGTCGGAATAGTTGAACCTCTGAAAACACTGTCTGAAACTGAATTGATATATATTGATACGATAGAAAAATTAAGATGTTTGCGAGATGTTTTGAACAAGGAACGAGAATTCAGTGTAGATCTTGAGGTATCAGTTCTTTCTTTACTCTCTTTATGATATGTTGATGAACCATATTTCTCGGAAATGGTTTATTCATTTTATGAAGTTCCACTATTTCATATGAGAAATGTTTGATTGTATCTCTGAATATTTTTCTTGAAATCATTTGCTTCTTTTGATCTCACGATATACGATATTTTTGATATTCTACAGCATAACGCGCAACGCTCGTACCTTGGATTAACTTGCCTGATGCAAATTTCGACACGCCAAGTGGATTACATCATTGATCCTTTTCCATTATGGAATGATATGCATATCCTGAATGAACCCTTTACAGATCCAAATATATTAAAGGTAATAATTTAAATAGGGAAATTGGAAAACTCCGCTTTTAACACCATTTCAGAAGCAAAGTCAAATATAGATTCAAATTTAGCAGCATTGTTATGAGCCGGATTATTGAAGTGTCAAAGCGTAATAATACTTAAGTAATTTTTGACAAAATTGCTGAAGTTTATCAGATAAAAATGCAATATTTCGAGGTAGCCGTTTTAACTAATCATTCTTCATAAATCATTTTACTATGTGAGAAAAATCACCTATTATCCAGGTTTTTCACGGAGCAGATTCAGACATTGTTTGGCTACAGCGGGATTTTGGCATTTATGTTGTTAATATGTTTGACACGTATAAAGCAATGAGAGTGCTTAATTATTCTAAATTTTCCTACCAGCATTTGGTTCAAACTTGTTGCAACCACATTTTGGATAAGAAATTCCAAAAAGCTGATTGGCGTCTAAGGTAGGATTTTTTTCTAGTTTTAAGAAATTCAAACTTTTCAATCATGACTCTCAGTTGATTATTTGCGCAATTCCTGGAAATGCTGTATTTATTTAACTGACAGAACTTTATATTTTCTCATTTCAGACCACTTACGAGTGCTCATAAAACTTATGCTAGAAGTGACACTCATTATTTATTACACTGTTATGATCAACTCCGTAAAAAACTTCTCGATCAGGGTGATGCTGTTAACAGTCTTCTTGAATTTGTTTACAATGAATCTGCTCATACTTGCCTTACTGTGAGTACTTCTGATTTTTCTTTCCTCTTTTCCTAAAATTAATCTAGGAAATGATCAATATCGAGTGAAATGCTTATTTTATTGATAATATTTATGCTATGTAAGACAAAACTTGTTAGCCGCCTCTTGCATTAGATACAAGCATTAATGCTATAACATTATTGTCTTTGTGTTTTAAAGAGTAACATTTTAGTCTTGCCCTGTATTTGATTCTCATCTTTTCGATTAATTGTAGATTTTAATTTTGTTTCTTCTTCTTAAAGGTTTATAAAAAGCCAACATTTGAAAGTGACGGATATGAAAAATTGTTGATGGGTAGGAAGCCTTTGAATTCTCGTCAACAATTTGCTTTGGCAGCTTTGTGGAAATGGCGTGATGAACGTGCAAGAGCAGATGACGAAAGTCCGCAGTATATTCTGCCTTGTCATATGATGCTACAAATTGCCGAGGTTTTTTGATTATTTCCTATTAATAAAAGATGTAATTCGTTACTATGTTTTTTTTTTTAATAAATGAATTTCTTTTTTAGAAATATTTTTGTTTTATTCGCAAAAATGGATTTTTGTATTATGGTTCACTGTTCAATCTCAATATTTCCAGGTACTTCCTCGGGAGATGCAAGGGATTCTGGCATGTTGCAGTCCTGTTCCTGTGCATGTTAAGCAAGAATTGCATGTTTTACATGAAATCATTAATACATCACGCGATCAGCCACTTGTAAAGCGTCCGATATATGCATCAAATGTTGGCTCATTAACTTTGGAAGGTGTTACATCGCAACTAAACAAAATGAATGCAGTTAAAGCAATGTTGAGGTTAGCATAAGAATGATAAATATGCATTCTTGATTAATTCTTAGTCAGAAAAATGTGCTTCTTCAAATTTTTGACGTTTTAGATGATTGATGCATGAGATATCATCATTATTAACAACGTTTCATGGAGAGGGACTTAGATTAATTCTATTGTTCTGATTTCAGTTATGGGTTTTGATATCAAGTTTTATCCGTTTTTTTTTTTAATTTTAATTTTTGCCTTTTTAAGGCGAAGAATTAAAAAATATAGTTATATTTATTATAGTTATTCTGGCTCACAGTTTATTTATGCAGCAGTCTCCTATCTCAAATTTCTCCATTGCTTTTAAAGAAAAGAAATTTATCCCTTTAGTATTTTATCTTTTCCAGGTGTCATTTGGATTTTTCATCAACCAAATATAATGAAGAAATCCGTGATATTGTCAAGCAAGAGGTTGAGGAAGCGATATGTGAAGACGGTGCAGTAACAGGTGGTGCGGGTAGTTTGGTTTCCACAGAACTTTATACAATTGGTGGAGATAATGAAAAGGAAAGCGAACGCTTACGAAAAGTCTTGGAGAAACTGGAAGACTGGGCAACGCCCTATGAATGTTATCGGATTGCTGTAATTGAGCGAAGTTCGAAAGCAAAAGGAGAGGTATTATCTTTCTATTATCCGAAGCTGTATTTTAAAATGCTTAATCAAGGAATTGTCAAGTATAATTCCTGTGATGACATTCCGGTAAAATGTTTGCAGCAAAGAAATCCTAAAAGATAATTTTATTTGCAAAATTTTGCTTTTATAGATTGTTTTTAAATAAAATATCGTTAAAAAGTTAAAAAGCATGAGCAGATTATAGGTTATTTTATTGCAGAGCAAAGGGAAGGAAGAAGATGCAGTAAAAAGTGAAAAAAATATGCCAGAGGAGAAGAAATTATGGTCACATCTCGATTCCGCTACAAACTTACCTGGATTTACTGAACAAAAAGTATTTTTTTCGTGTCCTTTTTTAAAAATTCTTTCCATATTTGTTTCAATTTCGCCTTCTCTCCTTAATTTTTCGCATTTGTCAATTCTACAGGTTATCGGTGGAATGACAACTCATTTTATTTTATTTAAAAATTTTTTTCCTCACTTGTTTTTCGAAACACATAATTATCGCTGTGGATTACATTATAGGTAACAGCTAGTGAATTGCAATTGGAAAGTGAACAGAGGAAAAACGACGAGGGGGAGATTTATGAAGAAATGACTTTAACAAAAAAAGAATTAAAGAGAAAGAGAAAACGAGTACGATTTTCACTTACAATTTGTTTGTTCATTGTCAGTTTCCTTTATTTTCCGCATGGATCTTAAAGTGCTGTTAAGTTTTCAAACTAATATTTAAAAGATAATTATCGACGAAGGTACTGCAGGAAACGGGTGAAATCAGTATCGCGACGATACAGAAGGGGAGTGGAATACAAAGAGACGGTACAAATGTAGGAAAGCGAGGTCGGAAAAGTAATTGGACTGATGCAATAGAGAAATGTGAACAACGGATTGATTACAGTACATTCGATCCTGGCACTTTTAATAGTAAATTTTTCCTTATTTGATAATTGTAGATTAATTTTTCTTCCTTAAAGTTTATAATTTCTAACTAGGGTTTTCATAGTTGAGTTGAAGTAGTTATTTTAAAAAAAAAACATTTCCACTGAGGAAGTGCCAACTTAAAATATTCATAGCTGTTATTGTAACTGTACATTATTGCCTAATTTATTGTACACCTAATATTTTTTATTTGGGGAAAGTAAGAGATATGACTCTTTTTCAGTTAATGAGCAGCAGTTTTGAGCAATATGTTTATAGGAAACGCTGTGTCGACATCTAACACTTATGATCCATTCAAACAATGGAAGCGTGGAAAATCGAGATCTTATGGTGGACGCAGAATAATGCGAAGTGGACGGAAACTGTGATAGGGACAGATAAAGCGGTTATTATAAACTGTTATGGTTCCTTTTATTTGGCTATAAATGAAAGTTCTTATCAATAAGAAGTTACCAATCAATATTCATTCTAATGAGTTATTCTTCCATTCAAGATTCAATGTTTTTTTTCGGATTATTAAAGGCTAATTAATTGATCATTTATGTTCTAGCAAGAATGAGTAAAATGCATCGATCTGAATATTGGGAAAACCATGCTAAGTTCGTTGTGTCTCCAGCATCTGAAAAAATTTTTTTTAAATTTAAAGATGGTGACTGTGTAATCGTTGCACGGTCTTCGCCTCTTATTATTTGAATGTCTTTATTGTTAGTCTTTGCCCCTAATTTGCGCTTCTCTTGAAAAATCCGTACTTTTGCTTCCAGTTTTAAATTTTGTCATTCTCATGTTGGTATCTTTATTAGAAATAAAAATTTCTTCAAGGGCTTGAGACGCAAGACAAATTTTGTCAAATTTTGTGCCAGAAATATTTCTCAGTAGAAATGTTTTGATTTTAATTTTCATTTAGAAATACTTATATAACTAACTTATTTATATAAATAAGTTTATTTAAATAAATTTATTAATAAGGTTATTTATATAAATTTATTTATATAAATAACTTAAGTGAAGTGTAATGAGAAGGGAAGCAATTTACAGGAAATTTTCCTAAAAATAGAGTGTGTTGGAAAGGAAGGAAAGCTGAGATACAAATTAAAGTAAAATTACAATGTCCATGTGATGAATGCAGTGGTAACTTATGATAGGTAAATATAAAACAAAGATATTCATGCAATAATTATTCATCATCAATATGGTATTGAAAATTAGTAAAATGAATTCAATACACAAAAAACACATTCATGCGAAGTAAAACTTCGTCACATTGTGACTAATGGTTGTTGTGAAAAGAATTAATCGTTTGTTAACCGTTGTTGAATTATTTGTTAACATAGCAGCAGGTATATTCTAATTAATTGTAATAATTAATTAATTAATATTCTAATTAATTGTAAATTAATAGTGGAATTTTTATACATGGAGAGATGAAATAATAGGCTGATTGCATGCTTAAATTTCTGATAAATTATTTAGGTTATTTGTTATCACTAACCCTTTTATAATTGTTTTATTAGTCCGAAATAAGTAAGTTTCGAATTATTCAGTTTCTCTGAATTTCTTTTAAATTATAATAATTTAAATATAATAGTATCTAATTTGAGAATATATTTGTGTTCTTCGTTATGTGAGAGATATTTCATTGTATGTTCTTTTAATTTTATTATCAAATTTTTAGTAACAAGTAACAAATATCATTCTAATGGAAGCATTCTAATTATACATTTTTGCAGAGAGCATATGCCATAAAGAGAGAAATAGAGAGAGTTCATTCAATTTATATGATGAAATATTTCCCATTTTAATTAATCAGATTATTCATTTCCTCTAATTTATAATGATAACAAAAAGAGAAAGATCAATCCGTAATTTTAAAGAAGAAGTTTACAACTATGTGCTTTTCATTGAATTGTTATAGTTATCACTAGTTATAGTTATCCGTTGAATTATTAATAATTTAATAAGCTAATATTTATTATTCTGTAATTAATCAAGTACTCATTAATTATATGTGTCATCTGTGACTATTATTTAATGTGCGAAATTTTGATAAATCATACTTTATTAGATAATCAAAAAAGATTAATCAGTTGCTGTATATGGTTATGGTTACATTTATGCTTGTAATAAGGTGAATTTTATCAATTTCAGGAGTAATAAATGGTAATATATTTGAAGAAAAAGATAATATGATATATGATATTATCGAACAGTCTTATTAATTTTCTAAATAATAAACAATAATAGTGCATTAGAATTAAAGAGTTCTCATCAATCTCTTTTATCAACAAATGATGACGGTGCGTAATAATACCAATGAAGTCCTATCAATTTAGTAAATTACAAATGATAATAGTGTAATAGTACTTTAATAAATCGTCAATGGTGTTAGTGTAATAGTGTCAAGGAGATCGTGCCATTTCGATAAATTAATTCGATGATAATAATATCAATGGGGTTTTATCAAAGTTGGCAATTAATGAATGATATAACATTTTGTTGATAATATGAGTATTAGTAAAAAATCTTATCAATTTCGTGAATGATAAATAATGACATAATGTTAACAATGTAATAGTATGAAAAGGAGAATCTGTAACTTTTGACAGACTTTTATTATTGCTAATATTTGCATTCAAATTTGTGATTTTTCAAACTTTTGAGTTTAAATACCAAAAATCAATTATGAAATAAAGTGATAAGTGATAAGAATAAACCTTTATTATTGATAACATTTGCATTCAAATGAATAATTTTCCGAACTTTTGGTTTTAATTATCATGAATTTTATCAAAAATCAATTATTAAATAAAATATAATCATTAAAAAAAGATGTCTGATTTATATAAGCATGCAAACATATGTAGGAAATATTTGTCATTTGTCACCATTGACTGATAAAATGAAGCATAATTTTAATTATTCAGTTTACTTTAATGTTGCTGTCCAACCAATTGTTAAATGATAAGTATGATCAGCAAACGGAATGTTTTTTCATATTTTTTTAATTTTAGTTAATCTTTGATCTAATAATCATTCCTGTCATCAATCACCATAATAGAAATAATATGAGAAATAAATCTGGTTTGTTAGTATAAGTTTCGGCAGGTATAACTGTCCGGTTTATTAAACATGCATTTCTTCTTATCTCCTCCCTCTCTTTTTCTCTTCCAACATTTCTTTTCATTATATATGTATATATATGTAATGTTAAATATATATATATTGTTGAAAAGATGTTTTCAAAAATATCCAAAAATGCTTCTTAAAACATCGTTTCTAAAACTTCATCATATCAGCTAAACAAATATGGCATATTAATCAAA